TGATACAATTTTAATATGATTATGAAATACAAAAATCTCATGGAAAAGTCATTATGAAATAATGTCTAATCCAGAATCCTCATGTGAAGATTTAGAATTTTATATCATTTGGCAAAAGAATTCAGGAACAATAAATAACCCACCTTTTTAAATGTAATGCAGAAATAATAGGAAATAAGTTTTGTTTTTGAACTGGGAACACATTTATGGTAGACCAAAAATTATCTCAATATTTAAACTTTACCTCATTTGCAGTGTATAACTACTCAATGCAACGTAAAAAATTTAATTCTATAAAAAATTGATTTGGAGACTATTATGATTTATTGAGTTATCAACAATTTATGGGTGATTTTAAGTTCCTGTGTATTGTTGTCCTTTTTTGAAATGTTAACTTTTTGAATTACAGATTTTTAAATTCTTTTAAGTACTTAATATAAAAAACTTAAAAAAAAGATTATTAGCAAGAAATAAATACATGGTTCTTTAAAAACTCTTTTTCATATGATTTATAATATATACTAACATTTATTTTAAGTCTTAACCCAAACGTCCACCGGCCCATTGTTTAAAAGAAATAATATTTATTTTAAAATCATTTACCCGCTTGCTCGCCCATTTATCTAAAAAAATTGTTTAAAAATGAATGAAATTTATTTTATGTTTAGCTCTTTATTTATCAAATAGAAAAAAAAATTTTGAATTATATTCCTTTCAGGCAGAGAGTAAACTTTTTTAATAAATAGAAGTGTGTTTTGCTTATTTAACCAGAAAAAAATATATTAAATTCCTCCATTCATTGCCCAATTTTTAAAAAAATATTATATTTAACCTGCATGCACCCCCTCATGCTTAAAATTAATTAGGCCACTGGCCTCCGCTGAGTAGATTGCAGTCTTCTACTCCAACTAGCCTATTGTCATAAAAAAATTTTAAGAGTATTCATGGTATTTGTGGATAATATAAAATGGCAGGTTTAATTTGATCCTCAGATCTAACTAATTATTGAAATTCCATTGATTGGGCGTAAGAGGGACAGGTAATACAAGGGATTAATAAATACACATTAGATGCATTAAAAGTATATATATATAGAAGAAAAAATCATTGAAAGCTTCGCCTACAGACATTATAGAATAATCGAGGTAAATTAAATACCTACTACTGGAAAATATTGTATAGGTTCATAGTCCCCTTCATAAGAAAACGACTTTCGATTTTATTGTGGAATTAACGTTATCATGAAAAATATATTTCCCCAATCTCTAAAATATAACATTTTATTTAACTTAATAAGTAATAAATATGTGTATTGTGTATTATAAAAACATATATCGAATTATATTAAATATAAATAATAAAAGTTATGAAAGAAAATAAGAATATGATTAAAGAGAAATAATTGAAAGAAGTTTAAAAATATATCTAACAAATAGTAAAGAGAAAATAAGGAGAAGAGGATTATGTTGGGGTAGGCGTGGAGGATTATTCGAAGGAAAATATAAAATTTAGGTAGTTAGATAGAACAGTAGCGGTAGAAAGCTTTTGACGATAGAAGAGAGATTCTTTGCATTGATCAGTCTTTTCTCGGATGCCTTCTCCCTAAATCCTTAAAAACACCTGAAAAGGATAACGGAAGCGATGGGTATGAAAGTATAAAAACGGTCTATGTAATATTTTTATTTTTACAATATTTTACCAGGGTAAGAGCATCGACATTGTGGCTGGATGGGATATTAGGATCAATGTATGAATTTCCAAACATGAAACTGACCCCTTAATCATGGAATTGAAGTCATTCCATCATAACACTTTCCGTCGATCTTAAATATAACGAACGGTTTCAATATGGAGAGGATATCCGCCAATTTGAGTTTACGCAAGATTAGATTAATACATCTTGTTTACCGTGAAAACGGCCTCGGCACCTAAAAGTTTTAGAAACAGGGAGAACGTGAACCCTAATCTCAACCCGGGAGATTTAATTAATAATATCTGAAGTGGGTAAGTTAACAAATGTGTTAGAGTTATCGCTAAGATAAATGATCTCATGGTAAATTTCAAATATGATACCTGAACTGTCGATCATATTTTACGATATCTGGGAGAATGTAAGCAAACAATCCAATCGACACTCACAACATTGACGGCTTATGATGATAATCCGTTAGATTCGAAAAGTGAGACCTGGGTAAAGATGCACCAAAATTCATATTTTTTCTTAACATAATGAACGTAACATTAAGCCTCTATTTTGTCTATAATATCATTTATACTCATATGGTCGGCAGATAAGGTTAAAAAATTTAAAGTTAGCACGGTATACCCGTAGACCAAAAAAACTCGCTGACGGACTGTTTAATAGATTGATAATTTTAATCAAATAATTAAAATCTATATTCATTAACAAATCTGATTATATATTACAATTAAAGAATTACACCTAAATTATTTCCAGCTCGTCATTTGTCTACGACGAGTCAATTCAGTAGTTGTACTAATTTAGACCGGGTACAAAACAAGGATGGACAGGATAGATGCTGCAGAAACAGAGAGTTTAGCTCAGACGGGGTAAACCCATATAAAACCCCAGCTCAGTTAGTTCAGAAACCCGCCGCGTGACTTACTAGAGATAAGGCTGGAGTTAGCATAAGTGTGGGGTCGTTATCTAGGATTGAAAGAAAGAGAATTTTAAAATGCATAAAGTAAAATAATTACGAAAAGATGAATATACATTGAGTTTAGTATTATTATATGTTATTAATTTTTTATAACCTAATAGATTATTGCAAACTAAATATATAAGGCAAAATTTAACAAATTTAATAATCTGAAAGAAATTGTTCGATGATGAGATTTAAATTAAATATATTAAGCTTAAAATATATCAGGCAACCTTCAATTTCTTCATGTTTTTGTAAATTATATTATTGTATCCATTTTTATCTCAACTATTCTTAAATATATCTATTTTTTTAATCATTTTTAATATAAATTAGAATTCTAATAGTTTTCAATGAATTTAAATTGGTATATATATAACCATTATTGTGCCATTATATGATATCTCAGACATTTGAAGTTGAACTAATATATGTATTTTAGTGTATAATATCTTTCAGATATAAATTTAATTGACTCAGATTATATAAATTGCGACTTGATTTAAGGTAAAATCCTTCACTTGAATTACTCGGTTTTAGAAGTGTTATATATCAATAACGGTGGTGTTTTATGGACAAAAAAAATATTTTTTATTTATTATAAATATAACTAAAACTAAAAATGATACTAAAAATAAATACAAAATAAGGTATATATATATATATGTATTATAAAAAAAACAATTTAAACGAAATACATGGTTAAAGGCTAACATGTTTAAAATAAAAACAATTTAAGTTGAACAAATTTAAAGTCAATCTCGATTAACATTCCCCTTCTTCTGAAAAGCCTTCCCATAATCCATTTGAGCTATCATAGCAAGCTTGTCGTCCAAATGATTTATCATTTTGATTGTCAAGTTGTTGCATATGTCGTCTTAATCGTTGGCTTGATTAAATCGTAAGATTCATATCTCAGTGGTTATTATTATCAATTTTTTAAAGTTGTAATTATCATTATTATTATCAAATAGGATGTTGGAATATATGAATAATCAGAGAAGTGATCAAATTTGGATGTTAGAATAATAAAAGGATGATAAATCAACAAGATTGTTACATAATATTTTTAGAGTTTTTATTTTTTATATTTTTAGCGTTTTTATTTTTATTTTGCGTTTTTTAGGAACATATCGTAACCAACATTGTGCTGACTCAATTCTGTAAATACACTCTGTTTTACTAAATTCACCAAGGCATTACCAGATCAGAAAGCTGACATGCAATTTATTGATAATCTCGAATCTGCTATATTTACCATTATATGGTTAGCAATGTCTTTGAATTTTTCACTATTTGAGGGAAAAAATTTAATAGTTTTATTAAAACGACCTTAATTTTGTTGAAATAGTGGAGAAAATATTTCCCTTATTAAATGCATCTGTTAGAATTGCATATGTATGCCCATCTTTCAAAACGTCAAGAATTGACCTCCTGTATTTAGGTTCTAAAACATTGATAGCTTTGCTCATTTTTTTTCTACAAGTATAGTTTTCATTTATATTAGGTCGTTAAATATTATGGGGAAAAGATTCTATCAACATTGTGATGATAGTATCTCTTTGAATTGTACTACAAGATAAGTGATTACAATTGCTGCAACTGTAGTTGCATCTGTATATTTTCTTTTTTTGGAGTACCTCATAATGTATTTAAACGTGATACGTGATAATTAAGCGCCTATCCCTATAATGTTATACACACACACGGTAGATTTCCAATTGCGGTCGTTTTGCGGGACATTCGCATAAAATATATGTAAATTTGTAAAAATAAAAACATTTTTTTTTATAAAATTTTATCTTGTTTACATTCTTGTATATTTAAAAAAGATCGTTGGTTTTTTTATAAATTAATATATTTTCATAAATCAAGATGTTATTTTATTTTGAAAAATAATTACCGACTTTGTATTTATATAAACTAATTATAAAAAATAATAGGCGGGTAATTAAGTCAATTCAGCCCGAAAAATTTTTTTTTTAGCAAATTTTATATTTCTACCGCAATTTTCGTATTTCTCCCGCAATTTGAAAATTTTGACCTGGCAACCCTGCATGAGGTATGATGGTATACTATGATCCAGTGTCAACCTGCATAGTTGTATTAACATTATTTAATAACAAAGTAGTCATAAAAGCACTGTCATCACCTTTTTCTGTATTTTCTGCCAGGTTGTTGACATTGAAATCATTCTCATTATTGTCTTTGGCAGTGCCAACTTTATTTTCCACAACTTCTTTAATGTTCATATTACAATTATTGCTATCTATGAAGTTTTGATTATCATACAGGATTCGTTTTCTTTAATTAAAATCCTTCCACTGATTACGATCGTCATATTCGATTTATTTGGTTATCATTATTATGGCACCTGTTGTTTCCTTCATAATTATTTAAATTGTTGTTATAAGATCGGTAATTATTATTTTGATCGTCACATTGAATCTGTCTCCTCTGATTATAATTAAACCAGGCGTTGTTCCTACCATAGTTGTTGTTATAAGATTGATAATTATTATTGAAAGTTTCTGTTGCTATATACCGATAATTGTAATTTTGATAATTATTATCATTATACTGATTATTTTTATAGTTGTTATTATTATAATTGTTATTGTTTCTAACGTTACTAAAATTCCTATTCCTGTTGTCGTTAACATTACTAAAACTGTTATCACCATAATTTCTATTCCTACAGTCAAAATTTTGCCTCGAATAATAATTAGGTCTATTATAGTTACTATTAATCTCATTCTTACTTTGGATATCTAAATTCTTATCATTATTTCTATTGCTGTCATTATTTTTATTAAATTTTTTATATCTACTAAAAACATAATTAACATTGTCACTTTCTAATTTAATGATAATACTATCTAATTTTCTTCCTATTTCAATCATTTCGTCTAATTTATAGTTAATATTTTTATTTAATTTATTTTTTATATTGTCATTTAAACTAGATGTTCTCAATTTTTCTTTCATGAGATCAGCATTAATAAAATTACATTGTCTACTTAACTTAGACAGTCTAAAAAACCAATCCAAAATTCCTTAACACCTTGTGAAGCAAGGTTTAACTTCCCAGTCAATATCCAAACATCTTGACTGGGTAATAAAAATTTTAATTTTTTAATAATAATTTTATAATCTTTGATATCTTCCTTAGTACATAATGACTTAATTTTATCGTATAGGTCATCAGATAAATTACTCATCAATGTATCAATTTTTACTGAGTCGGATAAAATTGTTTGAGAGAAATAATCGTCAAGTCTCTCCAAATAAGTATCCGTTAAGCATCCCTCCAATTTTGGGAACTTAACTTCCCTGTTGGAGGATATGCTAATTTTATCATCCATAATGCAGATTTTTATTAAAAACTTTATTTAAATTAGCATAAAGATATATATTGTCACTATAAAGTTATATAATGTAACTTTTTTTTATCCAAATCGCAAATTTTTATTTTAAAACTTTATTTACATTAGCGTAAAGATATACATTGTCGTTGTAAAGTCATATAAAAAAAATTTTTTTTTACTTTGTGTGTTTCCTTTATATCGAATAATTTTTATAATTTATTACATAATTCCAAAAAAAATTTTTTATTTTTTATATTTATCGGCATATGCACAATATATATGAAATTTTTTTATTATATCATTGTGCGTGAGTTACCATAGCGCACCATGTTATATATCAATAACGGTGGTGTTGTAAAAAATATGTTTAATTATTATAAATCATGTTTAAAATATAAACAATTTAAGTTAAACAAATTTAAAAAATCAATCTCGATTAACAAGATTGTTAAAAGGATTAATGGTTATGATATAGTCTACATAAACAACTACAAATTATTTCAAAAATGCAGTAATCCCCATTTATATTAATAAACATGTGTTTGCTTCTTATATTCTATATCATTCCCCCTAGGAAGGAACCACGTAGTTGGTCCCTTAAGTAAAAAACATGATTCTTGCCATTCAAACCGATAACTGATGATACGTATATTCAACCGATTGAGCCACAAACTGGAAATAATTTATTTTTTTATTATAAACAAACATTGGTTATCTAATACATGTTTGTTCATTATGTTAATTATACACTATAAAAAAAAACTAACCGTTATTGTGAAAATTATATGCTATAAAAAGCTCTGCCAGTACTACAACGTAATTTTATAACTCACTCAATTTACCCAACACAACTCTAAAACTAATAAATTTTCAACTTCAAATTTTATTGATTAAATATATTTTAAAAAACTAAAAGTCATCATAATTATAAAATCTACTCCCTTTTATACTTTTGGAGATCACGAGTTTTACACGTGATTATAAAATCATGCGACTATTTATAAATTTGATAAATATTAAACAAAATAATTTTTAAAAATAAATAATAATAATATGACAAATATGACAGTTCAGGAACAACTTACTCATATTTTGTTCTAAATTAACATAAATTATATTGTTTGCGAGTATAAATTTTTAATTTTCTTTATTATTCATTTCCAAACTTAATATGACAATTATTCCCTATTAACTAATATTGTTTTCTGCTGTTATCATAAACACATTGAGTTATTAGTGTTTTTTAATTATTTAAATTGGATCGGAGGTCCAAATATAGGCTGTCCTAAGTTATGTATTATGAGCAATACATCAGCATTTTTTTATTACCATAGATTTTTGTTTAGATTTTGATAGAATGCCAGCATGCGATAATCTAATTTATTTATATTACATTCATATTGTGATGTTTCCAGCGTCTACATGTTAACAAGATATTCACTGGAAACATACAACCAGATATATACCTACCCTTCTAAAAATTTTAGCCGCATTCGCTGGAGATATTCTTACTTCGGGCCGGGTCTATATCTATTTAAAATAATTGGGTTCGGGCCGGGCCTAATATTTTAAAAAAAAATTCGGGCCGGATCGGGTCGGACCTTGAAATTTTTTTAAAATATATCTAAATTTATCAATTTTATATTAAATTTTTTATGTAAAATAAAAATATTTGATTTTATTTATTGAAACTAAACGACATATAACATGTCTTGAGTAATTATAAAAATTAATTTCTATATTTAAATAAATTCGGGCCAAGCCGGGTCGGTAAATTTTTTTAAAAAAAATTTCGAGTTCGGGCCAGGCCGGCAAAACATTTTTAAAAAAATTTCGGGCTGGGCTTGAAAAATTAGGCCCTATGTAGATCACTATCTCGTCATATATTTTAAAATGGATAACTAAAATTATCAATACGCTACTACCAACTATCAAAAAATTGTGAATGTATAAGAGTTATTAGAACAGGAATTAAATTTAAAACTCACTCTTATAATGAAAGCATTATTATGGTATATTATTTGGCATGAATATAAGTTTGCTGATAGAATGTCAAACCATTTTAAATTACATTTATAAAGAGAAAATTATATAGAAATAAGTTTTATTTTAAAAATAATGACTATAATTGCAATATATAGATTCGGAGGATGTTTAACAATATCATTAAATTATAATAGGCAATGGCGTAGCCATTATTTTTCAATGGAGGTAGGGTTAAAAAAATTTTTTATGTAATCTTTATATATTCTTCTTTAAAGTTGACTGAACAAGCTTTAATTCTATATTATGGCATGTTTTGTGCTTTATTTTTTAACCAGTTTTGTAGCATGTAGGAAAAATTTATTCTTAACAAGATTTTGGCCAACCTTAAAATTAAGAGGTGACTGAAAGTATTTATTCAATTCCTTTTATCAAAGTTTAGAGCTTAATTGAATATTAATTTAATCTTTTTGGTAGAAAGTATAAAGAAAATTGCTGCTAAAATGAAAAATATAAAACTACATATCTGGAATACTCTTATATTTAATGCTTGACTAGTACTTTCAATCCCTCATTCAAATGTGAGAACCATGAAAGAAACCGAGTTATAAATAAAATGAAAACTAGGACATGCTTTAAGAGTGAAATGAGCCAAGCTTTTGGAAACACTAATTCCGAAAGTTATATTAAACCATTAAGTAGGGCTTTATTAGTATATTTTATTTCTTTTTGCTTGGTAGTTGGTTTAAGAGGAAAAAAATTTAAAAAAATTAAAAATAGTCAAAATTAGCATCATGTTAGAAGGGATAATATAGAAACCTATCTGATTTGTGTTAATATTTAATGCCTCATTAATTCTTTAATCAATTTCGCAAGCCAATGAAAAAGTAACCGAATTATGAACCAAGGACTAACTTTGATTATCTTAAGCGTAAAGTTAGCCAAATATCTGGAAGCATTATCTCGGAAATTTATGTAAATAATTTGTGCTTATTTCATACTTCTTTAGTGCTTCAACCTGTTTGGTAGATAATTTAAAAGGCAATATTTTGGGCAAAATAAAAAAAATACAAAATTGGTATAATACTATTAGAAAAATTTTACATACAATAAGCAATAAATGCATGCTTAGTACATACTAATTCATCGATCGTTTATTTTCAGGCAATAAATAAAACCCTGTTATAATCGATGTAAAAATTATGGCATGTTTTAGACTGAATTTAAAATTTCGAATTTTAAATTACGATTCAAAAATCAATTTCGTCTCAATGCAATGAGGTTCCTCTTTTTTATTTAATAAACATAGGAATAATTTAAATCTCATTGAATTTTAAATCGAGTTATATTTTAAAAAATTTGATATAAATCTTATATTTACACGAAGTTCTATCCTAAGCATGAAGTGTGCGTGTGCCACACTTTTGAAACACTAATTCTAAAACTCAGACATATATGTAATGCTTAAAGAATACATTTTAATTTAATCTTCAATTCGCTTGGTAAATATTTTAAATAAAAAAGTTATTAGCAAACAGATTGTATCTAAGATACAAGACATTTTGTATCTTGTACTCAGTATCTTATTGACGTTTTTAATAAGATACTAGTATCTATATCGAAGATCCTTTATTTTGAAAAGAATCTTGTTTCTTTTTCATTTTCTTTAAAAAGATACAGATTATTTTTAATATTCATATTTAAAACATTTACATTAGAGATCTGCAAAGTTAGGCCCGGCCAGTACCAGGCCGCCGGGGTCGGGCCTAATTCTATTTAAAATAATCGGGTTCGGGCCGGGCCTAATATTTTTTATAAAAAATCGGGCCGGGTCGGGTCGGATTTTGGAAATTTTTTTAAATATATCTAAATTTATCAATTTTATATTGAATTTTTTATGTAAATAAAAATTATTTTATTTATTGAAACTAAACGACATATAACTTATGTCTTTTATTTTGAGTAATTATAAAGATTAATTTTCTATATTTAAATAATTCGGGCCGGGCTGGGTCGGTAAATTTTTTTTTTTATAATTTCGGGTTTATATTGATAACCAAAATTAGTTGGAAATTTTACAGGTAACAAAGATAGATAGATTAAAAACAACAACACCAAAACCAAATAAGAAAAGGATATATTTTATATGTAATATTTTTTAATTTGTAGAATGTTTAACATTCATAGTAGTGAAGATGAAATTATGGAGATAGGTTCTCCTGAATCAAATCCGAATGTTAAAATTCTAGATGAAAAATTTTATAAAGTAATTCATGTGAAAAAGAACAAGGTACAAGCTGAATGTCAAAATTATACAAGTAAAAAAGTTGTTCAACAAACTCCTCTTCTCTTAGATAATTGTTATTAAAAAATTTTTATAAGAAGATGGTTGGGTTGATTATCAAATTAAAATCATTTTGGATATATATTTTAAGGGTGCATCGATACCACTCTTTGTAGGCCGATCCGATATTCCCGATATTAAATTGATATTGGCCGATTACCGATGCGATATCATATCTAATTTTGTATTTTGTAAAGATACTAATGGTTTTAATTTTTAATATACTTTTTATTAGTATAACATCTATAATTTAGCTATACCAAAACTTATGTCATTTAAATATATTATAATGATCAGTTTAACATTAATATATCGAAGATTTCTTTTTAGAAATACCAATATTTCCAATTTATCAGAGGGCAGCTTGCGGCGATAGTAACTGTCAATATCACCAGTTTAACTAAAAACAGATGAGAATATCGCACACTTTTATAAACAATGCGCAAAAAAATAACAATATGGCAGAATATTTATTAAATAATAATTATTATTAAAAAAATATACATAAAAATGGATTTCGATTTTATTTATAAAAATAAATGATTTTTGATATAACTTTTTTTTTAAATTTTACATCATTTTATTTTTGTTAAAGAAGCCAATTTTATATTGGATCAAATTTTATAATATTGGTCGATAACCGATATTTTAAAATGATGAAATGGGCCCG